TTTTTTTTTTTTGCAGTTTTTGGCCAGGGCTGGGTTTGAATCTGCCACCTCCGACATATGGGGCCGGCACCCTACTCCTTTGACCCACAGGCACTACCCTGATATATTTTTTTAAAAACCAACAAATCAACATCACTTAAATACTTAATCCTTTTTAAATGTATTCATGTAAATTTTGGTTTCTGTCAAATGACCTCATCAGTTTAAAAGAAAATATCATCTCATCTAGTTTAGCACGATACCTGGTTAGTTTATAGGTTCTACTTCTGCTAGATTAAGTTTGACTAAGCAAACTTAATGAAATTAACTATTAAATAATCTTAAAACCGAGTATGCTCTATAATGATGAAAAGAAAGAAAACAGTCACAAGTTAGACCTGGGAAGCTTACTTTGAGGAGAAACAACGCTGACGACTGCTTGAGAAAACTCTGTTTGCAATTGGCTCTCGAATACTGAAAAGTATTTTTGGTTCTTCTGGATTATAGAGTAGTGATTTGTTATATTCATTTGTTACTATAAAGAAAAAAAAACCAATATTAGCACATTGAGTAAAACATGGCTACTTCTGAGAGATACAAAACAAAAAACAGATCCTACCCCAACTTACAAGCAATTCTGTTCCACAAATCTGTTTGGCAATGAATTCCAAACAATAAAAAAAAAAAAAAGAAAAGAAATATAAAAAAATTTTAAAAATTAAAAAGGCAAAAAAAAGAAACCCAAAATCTGTTTGGGAGCAATCTTCTTAGAACTCATAACACATAATCCACTAGAAAAAAAAAGCTTATAAATAAGAATTAAGTTGTGTGATTAGCCCACAAAAATGTACATCACACCCATAATATAGCAGAAATAGGTACAACTGGGAGAAAAAAAACGTCTAACTACAAATCAAGGAATTAAACAAAAACAGGAACTAGTTAGATACACTGAAAAAATGCTACATTCCCCTGTCAAGTTCTTTCTAAAAAACGCAATCTCAAATAATGACAATGTACTTTCTCCAATGAAACTGACATTATTTAAGATCTCTAAGTAAGAGACACATGAAAATTGGCATGCAAAGCACAAATGGGTTAAAGACAACTGTACAAAGAAATCAAGCAAGAAAGTAAGTTGAGTACCATATAAAAAAGTTACAAGAGTGTCAGATAATCTACCTTAATTAGTGTCAAAGTTTCGTTTTAATTACTGGCTCTTCTAAAAAAATTTAATTTAACCAGAAAAAAATAAAAATTTGCCTTTGTGGGAATACATCACACACACACAAAAAAGAATTCTAGCTCTGAAAGAAACTTCAAAAGAGTAGTTCCAGAAATGTCTATTAACAATGACTAACATCATTGGCAATCACGATCGCATCTGAAGACAGTTAAATGTCCAAAGGAATAAATATTCATTCACTAAAACTTGGGTATATTTATTAAGGGAAAAATAATCACTATTTTTTGTATATACCCCCTTATGTTTATATACCTGACATAAATTTCAGGTATATAAATTACATCTATATAAATAAATAAATATATGTGTGTGTGTGTGTTTTAAGTGAAGTTATATAATTAAGAATCAATTACTGTGGTAACTGTGGCTAATTGTCTTTTCTCTGATACAGATTTCAGTTGAGAGGAGACTAGAATCCATTTTAAAAAGCTAAAAGGGACTTCAGATATTTAGTCTTGTTTTCGAACTATTACAGAGGCAAGCCATCCACCCCACCCCCCGCAACAAAGGAAGTGTTATGTGGAAATCCAATGTATAATAAAAACAAAATAAACTGACACTGTTAAAATACTTTATCCGGTTCAAATGTATTGCTAACTCAATTACAAGCCTATCAAGAAGAATGAGGCCAGTCTGACAACTCTCAAACTCAGCATTTGTGTTTATGGATGACAGTTGTCATCTTTCATTGTCAATATCCGTACTTTGTGTCAATATTTTGTTTTGGTTGTATATGTTGAGAAAATCCTTACATAGGCAGGCAGGTGCAACTATAAACACATTTTTCTTAAACAATTTACCTTGCTATTTTAGGATATTCTTCAATTAGAGATAGCAAGAAAAACTTTAATTTGAGGTCAGTACAACAGTGATCCCAGTAAATGAGTAGACTTCTGTTAAAAACTGTATTTTTCAGTTTAAGAATTTAAATATTTTTTAAAAAACAAAAGTTAAAGAATACATTTGAAGAAGCCCTAGGCCCCAGCTAGATGCTCCACTTCAACCCTCTCTTTTCACAGCTGTGGAAGTAAAGGAGCCAGGATCATAGTCTTGCCCCCAGTTTCACAGCTGATCTGGTTGATCTGGGACTGTAACCCAACTCTTCAAATTTTTTATCCTTTCTTCATAAGTGCTATTTTCTTAAAGAAATCCTGAAGTAACTAAGGAAAACTAAATAGGAGAAGGTTAAAGAGAATATTTCAATGAATAGGAAGATGAGAATTCAGAGCTCAATGAATTCCATCTCATCCACAGGATATCAATGGCATACCAAATTCAAATATGCATTTCCTATTTGCAAGATACGGGTTTTCCTATATTTTCCTATCTCCCAGACATGTTTGCAGTTATGCTGCTTTGACATAAATTATATTTTATGGTTGCCAAGAACCACAATGTACAAGTAAAAGTCTAAGTATAAACTTTACATTGTTTAAATATACTTAAAGAGATATTAAGAGCATGTATAAATCAAAAAAACATTTTGCTTTATTAAACAACTACACTTTACAATATCATTCTCAAATTTGATAGAAAACTAAATTAAAATATTAGTGATCAATACCATGTGTCACTGACCTTTCTCTACCAATTCTCTGTTCAATTGAAGATCCAGATTTCCTTGTTGTTTTGCTATTAAAAGCATAAAGTATCTTGATCAAATATTTTATAGAATAGTGAATATATAACATGCATACATTATATATTATAACCATAACATAAACTGTATTTCCCCCACTGCCCCTTATCTGTGGCTTCAGTTCCCAAGGTTTCATCTACAGTTTCACTTACCTCTGGGCAACCACTATCTGAGAATGTTAAATGGAAAATTCCAGAAATAAACAATTCCTATGTTATAAACTACACATCACTCTGAGTAGAAGATAAAATCTCACACAGTTCTGCTCCATCACACCTGGGATGTGACTCTACTTTGTACAGGTTAAAAAAAAAAAAAAAAAACACATTGTATCCCTGGCGTCCATCACTGTTTTCTGGCATGTAGCAAATGTTCAGTAAATAAATATTGAACAAAATGATGGTATTTACTTTAGAAAAATTTAAACCTAATATTCAGTAATAGTAGAAAAATATTTTGCATCCATCAAAAGAAAGTTTAGCATTAAAAACATGAGTGAACAGAGTAGTACTTGCAGAATAACAATAACAAGGTTAAAAAAAAAAAGAGCATGGTTTATGCAAATAGAAGGTGAAAGAAACACGAAATATGAGTGTTAAGGTGAGTGACAGGATTATTTTTCTAATTTAAAAGTGTTTCTTAATATTTTTAAAAGAAGTACCTTTTTGTATTGAAGATTGTATTAATTACATGGTAAGTATGTGTCATACTATTCACTTACTACTGAGGGAATAGAATACGTTAAGTCTTTGCATCTTCCTATATTTTGCACAGTATCTGTGTTTTATAGATGATCAGTAGCTATCTGTTAAATGAATGAAAATTCTAAGTACCCAAGTGGCATACTATAAGGGAAATAATAGCCAGAAAATATTTTGTTAAGGAACTGCCACAAGCTAAAATCAAACTTGTTTTAGTGAATTGAGAAGCTCTGGTAAAATGAGTAAAAATGGGCCCTATATTGTTTGATGTCTTACTTCCACAGCCCCCCAGCCTGTGTCTTGTGGGTGCTTGTGAGGTCACACCTCTTGAGACAGTTTGACTAAACCACAAGAAGGACCTATGAAAGGGAAGATTACAAGTTATTGATTTTGCTTTTTGACTTTGTGTGTGTGTCCTGAGTGAAATTATTAAAAAAATAAAAGCAGATGTGCCCATGTCTGAGAACAAAAAAGAATATTAAATGGAAAATTCCAGAAATAAACAATTCCTAGGTTATAAACTACACATCATTCTAAGTAGAAGATAAAATCTCACGCAATTTTGCTCCATCACACCTGGGATGTGACTCATCCCTTTGTCTGGCTTGTCCACTGCGTACACGTATATACTACCTACCCACTAGTCGCTTAGCCAACTCAGCTGTCAGATCAGCTATTGTGGTACGGCAGGGCTTGTATATTCAAGTAACCTTTCTTCTACTTAATAATGGCTCAAAACACAAGAGTAGTGATGCTAGCAATTCAGGTATGCTAAAGAGAGGATATAAAGTGCTTCCTTTAAGTGAAAAGATGAAAGTCCTCAACTTAAAAAATTGTATGCTGAGTTGCAAAGATCGATGGTAAGAACAAAAGAATTCATGATATATAAATTTATGCATAGGATACACAAGGTTGAGTACTACCAAGGTTTCAGGTGTCCACTGCGGGTCTTGCAATGTATTCCTACAGGTAGGAGAGGACTACTGTACCAGCTGTTTTGGTACTCACCGATATTTAAAACATCTTCCACAGCCTGAGATGCAACCCTATTAATGTTGAATGACCTAGGATAAAAAAAAATCACATAATTCTTTCTTGTTTTAATTCTAAAAACATGCTAAAAATTAAAAGGTATAGTCAGTCCACTTAATATACAAAGTAGAAATTATTGAAACAAGTTATAAATGAACACTGTTAAAATTGATAAATAATGTATTGGTCTAGGTACAGGGATAGAATTATTCTCCTACATGGGTAGGAATACAGAAATAGTAGCTGGAAAGAAATTTTGTACTATGAAAATTTAAATGAAAATATTCTTTAATATAGTAATTCATCCTAAAATATACCTACATATATAATCCACAAAAATACGTACAAAAATATTTACTGAAGCATTGTTTATAAGAGCAAAACAACTCGGATATATATCCAGAGGAAACTAGTTAAATAAATTGTAACATAGCCACTCATTATATTAAAAATAATAGAACCATACGTGCTGATATAGAAGAATAACCAAAATACTAAATTAAAAAGCAAATGGCATTATGCACCATATGTATTATTTCCCTATTTTATTTTAAAAGCAAACAAACTACACACATACATGGCAGTTGAGCAGACATGGATAACTTTCAAAAATGGCTCTGTCTCATTACAAAAAGTGTTTTTGCTTTTTAAATTCTTCCAGGTAATTTAGAATTCTTCTTCTGTCTCGTAACCTTCATATATGACCTCACTAGAGATTGCCAATGAATAGGAATAACACAACAAGTCAACACAACTCTAAACTTAATTAATGACTCAACTTTTTGGTGAGAAAGGAGAGATACTCCCCCTATAGCTTCTAGCACTATGCCCTTCATGTTTGAAAAAAATGCAAAATAATTTTGTACATTCTTTTAAGAAAAATGCTGATACCCAAAACTTTACATTAAAATTTTAAGGTCACTCACAGACCAAAGTCCCTTTGCTAAAAAATCTAAAATCTGGCCCATGCTTATTCCATTTTCACCATTATCTGCCCCCAACTTCACATTCCCACCACACTAAGCTCACTCCTACCTCTATGCCTTTGTTCATACTTACTATGTAATATGAAGCAAAAAACTGTGAAGTCTCCTTACTTTCTTATTGTTATGAGGCTCATAATACCTATTCCATTAATATTACTGTTATACACTACAAAATATAGGGCACTTAGGGCACTACCTGGCTCACAGCAAAAAGTCAATACTGAATGAAAATATCAAAAGCGAAAGATACACGAGTTAAATTCTAATCCCTCTAAACATCCACATTATTGGATGTGGATTATTTAGGAATTTTTCTTATTTTAAATCTAAAACTCATACACAAATAAACTATGTTTGTTAGGGTTCTAGTGAACTAAAATATATAGAGTGTGTGTGTGTATATATATGTATATATAACAAAAGATTTTAGTGACTAAGATCTCCTTATAGTAAAGACAATTTAAGAGAACAAAACTCTCATAAGATCTTGATCTAATATTCCTAGAACTATGACTTGTTAGCGGTACTACAAACCAACCCAAACCCAGTTCTCTAAATTAGAGTTAGATTAAGATTAATTTACTGTGATCTTGGCCAGTTCACTCGACCATCAGGAGTAGTCTGCATTCCACATGAAAGACAAACTACTGTATGTGCCTAAGCAGGTGTCAGCTATCACAGGACAACTTTTTTCTCTATATAACCTCTACTAAAGACAAAATTGAAAGACAAATTGAGTATCCTATCTCTATCAGCTACTAAAATTCTATCTCCTACAAACAATTCCTCTTTCTTAATTAAGTCTGGAAGGGTAGAATGTATGGAGAGGGAGTATTAGAACAGTCATAAGGCGAAATTAACTTAAAAGGAGCTTCTATTCTGTAGTACTTCTCCCAGCATATGGAGTAAATCATGTTCCTCACTGGCCAGAGAAATGAGATAATAATGGGATACTTCCTAAGTGATACGACTTCTATATCCAATTTCCTGTGGAAGAATTTCTCGAAATGCCAAGATCATACAGTTTATTGCCAAAACCCTTTACTTTTCCCAGATGTAGAATCAGGTTCTATTTTCTAGTCCCTTTTGCCAACAGCCACATGACTGAGTTCTATCTAAAGGAATCAGAGTAAACATGATAGACAAACACTTCAAGCCAGGTTCATAAACCTCCCACAAGGACTCTCCATGCCCTACCTTCTGTGGCACAGCAACGTTGGGAGCTCTGTTTGGAAGATGGCAGACCCACATGATGGAAGGAGCCTGGCCCCCTCCCCCTAACCACTTGGAGGACAGCCAACACCTAACTGGGAACACCCAGTTTAGACTTTACAAGGGTAAAAAACTTTTAACATTGTGTTAAGCCACTGAGGTTGGGGGTTTATCTGTTATAACAAGTAGTTTACATTAGGTTATACATTTCCACATTTCATACTCAATACAAGAACTAAAAATGTCATATAAGAAAACAAACCTTTACACCTCTCTGTATCAAGAGTTAAAAGATGAAGAAGAAAAGAAACACACTGTCTTAATCTGTTCTTTCCAGTGATTCCACAGAAGTCTACAGCTTAAAGTCAAGTATAGAATTTAAATCTAAACTTCAACATTTATTAGCCACATAAGCTTTGGGCAAGTCAGGTAACTTATGATACTTCTTATACTAATGAAAATAAAATCACCTAACTTTTCAATTACTAAATCAATTACTTTTCTACTAATGAAAATAAAATCACCTAACTCCAGAATATTTGTGAGAACATCAGATAATGTAATTAGCTTGGAACAAGAAAAGTCTCAGAGATGGCAATGGGCTAAAAATTAAACACTTGCACCTCTGTAACATTCTACAATTTTTTAAAAAACAAAAATCCCAAAGATTAAAAAATACAATTATATAAATAAAGTAAAATAAAAATTATTAAGGTACAGATATATAGCATTCTCCTAGCCCTCTACCACTCCTAAGCTTCTCTTCTCTCCCTGCACTTTCTGAAGAGAAAAGGACAGAAAGTGAATGGAGAATGCAATCAAAAGAAAAGAATCACAGTCAAAAGGCTTCAGTCAAGAATCCAGAAGGCCACGTGAGGTCCCAAAGCCCACGGTTCCTCACCCCTGGAACATGTCAGAGGTAAGCAAGCTGCACAGAGCTGAGCAGAGAAGAGACTGGGATAGGACATAGTAAGAGATCTACACTAAAGTACAGGAGGCATTAATAAGCAAGAAACCTGACATTCTAATCTCATCCATACTCATTCAAACGCAACATCAACACAGGACTCAACTACAGGGTACACGTAGGAGACAGGGAATGCTGTACAAGTTGCCTCCAGCATAAACACTATTTCACCAAAATTAGCAAGTGTGTCTTGATAATTCTTTAATACAACCTAGTGACTGAACTTTCAACTGTATGACCTCCACAGACAGCTCAGAAGCCCCCTCTCTCTGTATTTAAAAGCTGACTTTCCCTTGTGAAGCAGCACAAGTAGTGAAGATAGTGAAAAAGGCACTGGCTTTGCAATCAAGCATCCCTGTGCTTGTTTCCAAATCTGACAGTTACTAGCTGTGTGACTTTTGCCTACATATTTATTCTTGCTAACCTTCCACTTCCTTAGTTGTAAAATGGCAATACCATTACTTTTAGGATTTCTATAATGATTAATGTATAAAAATACCTAGCACAATACGAAGAAGCAGGGGCTAAATACCTGATAGCTTATACTATAATGTATAAAGTATAAATTTACAGTATCAAAGAAGTTCAGAAAATAAAGTAATCTTATTATTTCTACTTTATCTGTTCCATTTCTCTCATTATGCAGATAAAGAAACTTATAAATGGTTGCAAAGCAATTCCAGAGTACTCAGGCTAGTACTCTTCTTTACGGGCAAGAACACTGGCTAAAGGAAAGGGGAAGAATCTGGGAGACTATTTCTAGTTCTTACTCCAGTTTTCAACAAGTAGCATCTGTGTTCAGTAGGAAAGATGCCATCATGATAAATGAAAGCTGTTAATTTTAATCTTTGCAACTTTACCTATAATATAGTTACAAAACAATTTTGTAGTATATTGGATGATTAAATTTATTTTTTTTCAAACAATTATTGGAAAAATCACTTTAGAAATACATTTCCTCTCACTGGCCTTCTGGAAAATAGGAGATTAACCTACCTTCTTAAGGGATACTTACCTTTTCCAAAAGATCATTTGACTAAAACTAAGATTTTTTTGAAGATGTAAAGTCATTTAATACTTATGAATTAAATGGTACAATGTCTGAAGGATTACTCAAAGTAACATAGGACAAAAGCAGACAGGCAGGTACAGAGGAAAGAAGACTGAGTAGGAGCTGGTAATTATGGAAACTGGCGAATGGGTATGCGGGAATTCATTTTAACATTTTTTTCTACTCTTGTAAAAATTAAAAATTTTCCATAATAAAATGTTTAAGAACTCATGCTGAACAAGTAGGAAATAAAACCCTCAACTTTTCAAATTTCATCAGTTTGTTTTACCTGTATTTGCAAACATGTACTCATTTACTCAAAAAGTATTTGCGTGATTATGTATCATATACTATGCTATGCGCACAAAAAATTAAGCAAAGAAAAAATAAAATCCTCTACTTGCCATCCTAAATCCCTAAAGTTGCTTAAACGACTTGGGTATTGGCATAACTAATTTCTAACACATTAGCTAACTAATAATGTGATGAGTGCTGTAACAGTACTATGAGAAGTATGGGTGAAGGACAAAAAAGGAATTAACTCATTGTGCTTATAAAAAGAAGTGAGTGTTAATAAAGATTTGCTAAAAAGAATGACATCCGAAGGCTGGACTTTTCAGCCAGTGGACAGAAAGTGGAGAGTGTTCAGGCATTCAAAGCAGGATGAAGGTGCATTGAGCAAAAACAAAAAGGCAAGCGAGAACGAGGAGTGTGCTGAGAATGGTAAATAGCTCTGGTGACTTTATGTGCTGATGTGTGGGGGAAAGGTAGGGCAGGAGTAAGGCCAGTAAAGTAACTGAGGACATAGTTTAAAGGGTCTTAAATGGCAGACTAAGCAATCTGAATATAGTCAGAGGTCAATGAAAGTTTTAAAGCAGAGAAGAGATTTAGATTTATCTACATTTTAGAAATATTACTCTGTTGGTAGTTATGAATGATATCTCAAAGAATAAAAGGTGAGGCACAAAGAATATTCATTAAAAAGATGTAGGTTTGGACCAAAGAAACAGCTATAGAAACTGAAAAAGGAGGGCAAGGACTTCAGAAGTACAACTAACAGGATTTAGAGACTGCAGTGTATAGACAAGGAGAATGAAGAATGACAGACTCAAAAGTGAGAGCATGTTTTGGGAAGTAATGTTTTTCTCTAGAGCATGAAGACCAGTTGGTGAATGTGAAATACTACTAATACCCGATGTAATTTTAGAATGTGTGTTTGTACTCAGGAGAGAAGGTATGTTTGGGAGGCATCTCTATGTATGTCCTAAGAAGGAGAGACCACCAGGGGGAGATTATAGAGTAGACAGGGTACTTGGGGTGGCTCCAGTTAAGCCTTTACTATACATTATCTCCAGCCTATTTTTTGTATTGTACCTTCTATTCAATTATTTGCTATTATTTAAAATATTTTTTACTTTTCAGAAATATATAGTCCCCCACTTCTCATTTCCTTTTATTTCTTTATAAACCTAATGCTCAACAATGATCAAATAATGACCAAATCCAGTCTGTAGCTGTAATCTAAGAAGTCAAGGCAGGACTACTGGATCCAATAAATTAAGTGAAACAGAAACTGGGCCAACCTACCTGACCCAGGCTACTTGTGGAGTACTAGAGACCACAGATGCACTGATATGAGAGATCAAGTAAATGATAATACTTAAAATATTTTACAAAATTTGATAAGCAACATGCCAAATTACTCACCAGGCCTTTGATCCGGTTCCAGTACACAAATTGAGCCCTGAACTCTTCTGTTTTTCCCATGGGCCATCATCAACTGAAATCTCATAGTAGGAAGCCCTATGAATTGAGAATATAAAATTGTGTTTGCTGGGCTTATGTTTCAAGGTAAATAAGACAAACAGTCTTCTTCAGAACTAATGAAATCTAAGTAAGTCAGCATGGACCAAGAAATATCTGGCTTAGTAATTAACCACACACATCAATGGTGCTAATTCCAATATCGATTAAGTGAAAAAGTTAGAAGGAAAAAAAAACTTATGCATGTCTATATGCCTTTCTGATCTATATGCTCCTCTCTATCAATACTTTAATAATTCAAACAGGGGCTTCTTGCAAATTTTTAGCTAGTATTACTGTTACTATTCTTATGGAATCTAACAAATACAGAGCCTCATTTCAGAATTCAACAAAAAGAAACTATGATTCTTAAATGAGTTTCATTCTTGGTAGCCATTCCTTGATATATCTAAATCTGTTATCTGGTTCTTCAAGTTATCAGTAGTTTCTGCTATATTCTTCTTTCTTAAATTATATGTAATTTTTAAATTGGTGTAAACAATTTAGATAAACAGATTAGATAATAAAGCCATAAAGAAAATTCTCAGCTAATACTGGGTTAGTGAACAAAACTAGAAATCAGAACTATAATTTCTTAAGAGATTTACATTTTTAAAAATATTTTGTAAATATGAAATCAATTCGATTTTCTGAAACCAGCAAAAATGACACTATCCTTATGAATGCAGAAGTAATTTATAACTATTCAAAGAACTTCTGAAATGTGTAAAAGCCTATTTTATAAACTCCATCTTAAAATAATAGTCTTACTGAACAACACTGGATTATTTTTCTCTAGTAAATAAAAAAGTTAAAATAAACGCTTAATATAAAATACAGCTTTTCAAAATAATGAGTTATTAGACATGTTTGCAACCACTAACCATGGATAACTTATCTCTTACTCTAACCCGTTCAGATCTCCTGTAAGTTCTTAATTTGTGAATGTTTTATGTGACATAGTCCTTTCATTTTTTTCTCTAAAGTAAGTTTTCCTTATGAAAACAAGCACGTCAAATATTCATATATCATCTATTTCATAGCTTTGTTATTGCTTCCTAGAAAATGCACATTAGGAGCCTATAATATACAGACTAGCCAGCCAAATCCAGAGAAATGGCTGCTACTATGCCAGAATTGAGTAGTAACAAAAGAGATTAAAGGTGAGCAAGGGAGTGGGTGGAAGAAGCAGGGGTAGAAAGAATAGTCAGGTGAGAGATGCTGAGCCCAAAAGATGAGCAAATTTAGTGTCATTCTCACATGCAAGTTTATCAAGATTAGTCAATTCACAGAATTTTTGTTTCAGGGAAATTGTTTTAAGGCAGCAATAAAACTCACAGTCCCTTTAGAGTGGGTATACTTCTTCTTAAAATGTCCACTGCTACAGCCCAAGAATAAGACATTCTAGGTTAGAACAAATAGGAGAAAAGAAAACAAAATTGGGCTTTTAAAATGTTCTTAAACCTAAGAACATTATAAATGAGGCAGGAATAATATTGCTGCACTCCATAGTTTCCAAGCAAAGCACTTAAGTTTTCAGAGCATAATGAAGCCTCAATACAAGATCTAGAATCAGAAATACTGGGTTTATATTAAAAATACAGTTCTGGCACTAATTCATTATATGACCTTGAGCAAGTTTTTGAACCCCCTCAAACCTCAATTTCTTCACTAATAAAGACAGCTACCTTTCTCATAGGATTGCTAGGAGCGAGAAATGAGGTAACAGATACAATAGGTGCCTGACCTTTTGAACATCCAAGAAATGTTCATTCCTTTCTGCCCAGGGGCCTAAAAAAGTAAGTCCTAATACTTCCACTAGTTAAACCATTTTCAGTAGCATCAGAAGCCAATCCATTGCTGTTCCAAATAAAGATATAAGGTAAGACAACAGAGAACACAAAAAGCAGCAGCTTCAGACATTACTTAGGAGATGAACAGATCAGATCACTACTGCCACAGGAAATAAAAGCATTCAATCTAAATTCCACTCATGAGACTTCACGCCCCAAAAGTCAATCAGCTAAACCAAGTTTTCCTCCTTTTCTAAGTTGTTTAATTTTTTAGTATGTACAAATTATAAAGCAACACAAGAGAGCTCTCAGCAGTTAATCATACAACCTTTAAAATACAAAAAGAGAGTAAGCCATTCAGGGCTTGCCTAGAATAAGCACAAATTCCCTTTGTCGTCTGTTTAGGGTAGACTTTCTCCAATCTCATTTAAAGTGGTTCCTCTCTTGTTTGTCTCATGTCTTTAGCAATAATGACTAAATTGCATCAGTAATTAGAATTGTATTTTCTCCTTTCTCTCTTCAATTATATAATAGTGACCTATTATTCATTCACCTCTGTATTGCCTTAAACTTGATATGCAAAAGAAAAAACTTTATATACAACAACTTTATAACACAACATTTGCTGTGTTAAAATATTTTTACATTTCACTACATTTTCTAGTTACCTTTAACCATGTTATTTCTTTGAAGAATTTTACATTTGAACATTTTTAAATGATGTCTTTATTCTCCTCTAAAAAAATTAAGATCCCACTACCTTTACCTCTCTCCTCCCTAGAGGTTCGCATGTTGCACACGGCAGGCACACAATATGTTTTGGTTGAAGAAACTTAATCTTACATACAACAAAATAATTACAAGTAAAAAATGCTGTTTAAATCAGTCTATTGAATCAAACTTTGTGGTTTTCAATACTATCAAAGTTATAGGCTTGAATATGGGTATCTTTTTAGTTAAGACCAATTTTTCTTACTAAAATTAAACTTCTGAAAAGAAATGTCTTCCAACAAACAAAATTTCAGTATTTGTGGAACTCTCAGTAAACTAGGGAATCAACTATTACTATACGGCCTTCAAAGGATCACATAATTCTTCTCACAGCAGGAAAGTGAGACATAAAACTCATCTATAATCTTTCACCCTAATTTACTTACACCTACAAAAATGAGAAGTCGAATTCTATAATATTATCAAGAACTAAATTAACTTTACATTATAGTAGTCATTTAATAAGCTGGCAACTTTTTAAAATTTTTTAAAAAAAGTTTTTTTGTTGACAACAATTTAAGCCTACATTACATTCAAGTGCCACAAAAGAGATTTTATCAGTAATAAAACATACATTTAAATAATCCTAATAAGAAGCTATATTAACTTTAATTTTTGGTAAGAATGGTTAAAATCTTGAATTGTCAATGTACTTGGTAACTTGTGACATATTAAACTAAAAAGAATATATTACCTATGTAGAATTCCTGTCAAAATGCCTCATCTAAGTCTTATCATGCAAAGAAGAAAAAATCATATAAATATAAAATAAGGCATATTTTACAAATCAATTGGATTAGATCATTCAAAAATATTAATATCATTAATAGCAAAACAGAGGTGGGGTTAAGGAACTGTTCTTAATTAATTCTAAAGGGTATGATAGCCCTTAATTGGATCTAGATAAAATAAGCACACAAATATCAGCTTTAAAGGGTACTAACACAATTCATGGGGAAATTTTAAAATGAACTGTCTATAAGAGTTTTATATAAATTGCAAATATATGCTTAGTATATCTTCTCTTAAAAATTTTTAGGCTGGGCACAAGTGGTGGTCCAGGGAGGCTGGGGTGAGAGGGCTGCTTGAGCCCAAGAGTTCAAGGCCAGCCTAGGCAACACAGTGAGATTTTTGTCCAAAAAAAATTTTTTTTTAATTTATAGAAACACATGTATAAGCACCTACATAAACAGATTGAAGATACATGTATAAGCACCTACATAAACAGTACAATAAAGAAACCCAAATAACTTTTTTTAACCCTATGGTTTCACAAACCCTTTTGGTCACAGAACATTCTTTCCCCTTAATGTGTATTAACACATATGAAGGTTTAGGAAATATTCCAGTAAATAATTAATTGCTATTAATTACTAATCATCCACAAATATTAAGTTGTAGAAATTGAATATAAATATCCAAAAATATTAAACCATTAAAAATTCCATACTCAAGATCACAGGTTTAAAAAAAGTACCTGGAAGATAGACTCTCCCCAATGAAGACTTCGTTTAGTGCTCTCACTGGCAAAAGTTGGGGTCCTGAAGCCTCCGATTCTGCAAGTAATAAGAAAAAAGAAAATCCAAGATAGCTCCTCAAATTTTATAAATGTTATGATAAAATCTATAAACCATTAAAAACTTTATTGTTTTCATAGAATCATATACTTCAATATAGTTAACATAAATTATCCCTTCAAGTATCTATAATATTATATACCTTAATGTCACCTAACCGAATAACCACAATGAAGCCTCTGTCTCTTCAAAATAGACTTCAATTCTTCAAACAGTTTTTCCAAGGATAATGAAATATACTTATCTATCTCTTAGGATTTTTGCTGTCAAAATTAACTTAGTTTTACCCTGGAAACTTCAGAGGTGTAACTAATCAAGAACTTTCTGGTTCAAATTTGCGACTATCACCTTGAAATAGTTCCCTTTAATCTTTCTTTAGTTTCCAACTGGAAATGCCAATTCCATCTTTTCAATGTCACCAATAGAAGATTAACTGCACTCAAGTATCTCTCACTAGACAACCACCATGAGACAAGCTCACTTTTCTGTCCCTTCCACAATTTCTAAGTCAATGTTTAAAAGTCCATCCTAAACACTGACTTAGTCGGTGTTTTATTTAAAAGTGGCAGGCATCCTCCAGTGATTTGATTCCTGCCTCCTGGTATTCACCCCCCTGTGAATACACATACATCCAGTCTCGCACATCACAGAAAGGTTACCACATGGCAGAAGTGATGGCATGTCACTTTGAGATTTGGTTAGAAAAGATACCACCTTGCTTGCTCTCTTCTTCTCAGATCACCAGCTCTGAGGGAAGATTTGTGACGAGCAGCTCTTTGGAGAGACCAACATGGTGAGGAACTGAAACCTCCTGCTACCAGACACGTAAAGAGCTTAGGAAGTGTATCCTCCAGTCCCACATGTGTCTTCAGTACTGCTGTCCTGGCTGGCAGCTTGACTTTCACCCCAAGAGGACCTAAACCAAAACTGATCAGCTAAGCTGCTACCAGATTCTTGACCTTTAAAAATCTGTAAGAACGTAATCTTTAAGATGCTAAATTTTAGGGTAATTTCTTATACAGCAATAACTACCTAATATACAGTAGATAATAAATATACAAGTAAAACTACTGCTGTCATCAACATGATCACTGATCTACTCCTCTCTGACCTGCAAGCCTGATTATCATATTCTTCTGTTTGTATGTTTATTAAATTGAACATTTGTTACATTTTTCTCATTTCTTTTGCCTTATAAATGCCTGAAGGGAACCCACTATTCTTTTAAATATAACAAATCATTATTATCATACCAAAGATCCTTTGAGCAATTGTTAATTACCTAAACTATCAGCTTAACCTCATGAGAAACAGTGCAGTAGAAAAGAACGTGTCACAAAAAAGCTTTATAAAAAGATCTGGTGTGTTTAATCAAACTTGACTGTACTTAACACTAAAATTGGCTGTCTTGTTTTGGTGCTACATACATGGGTCATACAAAAGCTTTGAGATACACAAAAATCAAGAAACACAAAATCCATGTGGACAGAAACAAATGAAGCCTTCCCAGCAATGCTGGTAAATCAAGTAAGTTAAAACTTACAGGGCTGAATCAGAAAAGGTGCTGTCAACTGCATTTCTTGGAATTGAAATAAGGGACCATAACACAGTCTGTCTCAAAACTTTCATAGTGACCCATGCACATTTACATTCTTATATCTGATGGTTTTACAAATGTAAACAGTTAGATGCATTTAAATTCATTTTCTTTAAGTAAGATAACTACTAACAGATTTAGTTTTAGGATCATCATCCTCACAGATTTTCTACAAATGCTTAACAGTAGGCATTCACTAAATATTAATAACAAATCTGAACTCTCACCATCAAACTGTAACAAAGTTTTTCTTTTATATGGTCTTGACTTTCTATCTCTACTTCTATTTTCCCTCATCCTAATTTTCTTCTTCATATTACATATGTATTATATATGCATGTTGAATGTCAACTCAATGCCTTTGTCAAATGAATAAGAGAATAAAATTATTACAAATCTGATTAATCATAATTCTGCTTGCATTTTCTTTCATGCTAATCCACTACTAAACCTTACCTAATCACAACACTATGTTCATTTACAACTTGCAGCAATGGGACATGGAAAAAAAAGATACACTCAGCACCAATTTTCTACCCAGAAAAAAGTTATGATTTGTGTTTTTAGATATAGAATTGTAATACTAGTGGCAGAGACTGCAACAGCATGTAATTCTCTCACACTGTCATACTGTATTTCCTAGTGACCCACATATATTTACATTCTCATATCTCATTGACTATATTTCCAGGTCTACTTATATTGGGTGAAGCCACATAACTAGTTATGACCAATGGAACATGGGCAAAAGTCATGAAAAAGCCTGACTCCTCAGGCTTCCCTTAAGATTTTCTTCCATGTTCTCTGTCTTTACCCCACAAGATACAGAGGCTCCAACAAAAGGCTTAGAAGTCTTAAAATATGGCAGGAGCTACTACATGGAAGGAATCTGAGTTACCTAAACACCCCTTGGACAGTGAGATGAATCAGAAATAAACCTTTATTACATTAAGTCCCTGAGTTCTGGGATTGTTTATCAAACTAGTTCACCCCTCCACATTAAGGAAATCAGCCTTAACAAATAAGAAAATTACTAATTTATATGATTAAAAAAATAAATAAATCCAAAGTTCTCCTTTTGAAGGTATATTGATAATAAAAACAATTCTTTACATTGTAGACAAATAAAACCTAATTCAGGGTAGATTCTACTACACAAGATAAAAAATTTCATTTGTTTATAATTATGTCATCCGTCTTTGATAGGTTAAAAAAAACAGAGTTTTTTTCTCTTCAATCTTTTATTCTAAATTAGAAAGTTAAATCAGGGATCAAACATGGAAGTATATTTATTAATATAACCCCAAACCTACTTCTGCATTCAAAAACCCCAAACAGAAGCTTCCTAAGAAATATTTTCTGCCAACTTGAAGAAAAATTGAAATATAAGATATACCTGACATCTCACAATTTTTTCTCAGAAAATAGAATCCTCTATCAAAACAAAACCAACCCTCTTAACAAAAATAGCCCTCTAAGGTAGTGCCTAGATGAGGTAAGTACCATATAATTGCATAATAACAACAACAATATGGTATTAATTATTTAGTAATGTCTAATGTTGCTATTGAGAAATCTGAACTATTCTGATTCTAGATCTTTAGACAAGATGGCTCACTAGATCTACAAATTCTACATCCATAGATTCAACTAACCTCAGATCAAAAATATTTGGGCAAAAACAAAAATAATAAATAACAATACAACAATAAAACTAATAAAAATACAGAGTAACAACTATTTACATACCATTTACATTGTATTAGGTATTAAAAGTAATCCTAAAATGATTTAAGTTTAGGGGAGGATATGCATAGGTTTTATACAAGTAACACAGTGTATCAGTGATTTGAGCATCTGTGAATTTTAGTGTCTGCAGGACATCCTGAAACTAATGCTCTCAGGTTTTGTCTAAGAGCTTCCTTTTCTCCACATCCTTGCCAGCATTTGTTATTTTTTGTGTTTTTGATAATAGCTATACTAACTGTGTGGTTTCAATGTGCATTTCCCTGATAATTAGTGATGTTGAGCATTTTTTCACATACATGTTGGCCACTTGTATGTTTTAATTTAAGAAATGTCTATTCAGAGCCTTTGCCAACTTTTTAATGGGATTATTTGATTTTTTGCTTGTTGCATTGGACTCCTTGAATATTCTAATAGTAGTCCCTTGTTGAATTAATAGTTTGCAAGTATTTTCTTCCATCCTATAGGATGTTTCTTCACTGTTGTTTCTCCTTTGTTGTGTAGAAGCTTGTGAGTTTAATATAGTCCCACTTGCCTATTTCTGTTGCCTGTGTTTTTGAAGTGTTTCCCTGCCAGAGTTTTGAGAGATTTTCTTGCGTTATTTTTTTTTCAATTTTTTCTGTTCCTTTTCCAAACTACCATTAATCAGACGGAAACATCCTGGATGTTAAGTTTATACACAATTTTGTTTCTATATGTGAAATATTAACTTACACTATAAACTAAATTTAGTGAATCGGAGGAAACTAAGCAGTGACTTTGTACACCAATCTACATCTCCTCTGTAATGTTAAGAGCACTGGTGAAAAGAGCCAAATCTATCATCTTTTAGTGGTAGCAGTAACTTCTTTCAGTGAGAAAGTAAAATTTCTAGCTGTGATCCCAAATATCTTAATAGTTACTGCAGATTTAAAAGAATAACAGAAATTCATATGCATATAATTTCTTAAAAGATTTCTAAAATCAAATGAAGTTTTTTTGGAAGAAAATCATTAAAACATTACATGAACACATGCTTTAGGAACAGAATATCCTATAAAGGAATAAGTTATCACAAAAAAACTCTGAAAAAAATAGATTTAAATACAGTAGAACCTCTGTAAGTTGGCCACCCAAGGGACCATAACAAACTGGTCAACATATAGAGGTGGCCAACATAAGGAACTAGGCCTAGTATACCGATACATCCATGTGGTACATGCCCAGTCTAAGAAAATAAGGTCAACTTAAGGAGGTGGTCAATGTACAGAGGTGAGAGGCTGTACTCGATCAGGTACCATGAGAGAGCAGAAACACAAAGCAGATATTTAAAAGTAGTTTTGCTTGATATATTTATCCACATAATAAAACACAGAAGAAAAAAATATCTTTTTATATAGTTCACAAATATTTCTCTTGCCATCTTTTTGCATCAGGAAAGCTCTATATTTATAGAAAAAGTGGGGAAATACAGCTAAATAATCCATGAATTAGCTCAAAACTAAGAATTCACTTTAATCCTCAATAATAAAAAAAGTTGTAAGTCAGGCTCGGCACCTGTAGCTCAGCAGTTAGGGCACCAGCCATATGCACTGGGGCTGGTGGGTTTGAACCCAGAGGAGCCTGCTAAAACAAAACCAAAAACAAATGAAAAAAAATAGTTGTAAAGCATCTTATGCTAATATTCTCTTAGCAGCTTACACAAATACTTCAAAGACAAATGAATCTTGGATGCAAAATATCCTAACAATAGATATATTTAATATACTTAAGTATAACTATATGAAATGTATAATTATTATAAAATCTTCCACAGATTAGCTTGTTTTATTCTACTAGGTTTTTCTTTTTTTTTACGACATTGCAAAGACTAAGGCCAAGAATCTTTTTTTTAAACATCAATTATCCTGTCAGATATTTTATAACCCCCTAATCAATTAGTTTTCAAATCTGACCTAGGAAAAGTTTCTTTTAGAAATATGTTACATTTCTTACTTCAAATTCTAATTATAGTAAACTCTGTAATGGAAGTAGTTCACTTCACTTTCTTAAGTCTTGATAGCAGCACTAAAAATAATTATAAATTATTACCTTAAACAGTTAGAGGTCAAAGAACAGTAAATTATACATTGCCCCCTGTGCATCTAATTCCCAGTCCACCTACTTTCATCATGGACTCTTTCAATGTTAAGGGCTCTGCTGTGCTGGTTTAAACTTAGTTGCTGCTCATGAAGGTCCACAGGAACAGGGTTTATGCCAGTCCCTTCAAGGTATAACCTGATTCGCTGCCTCCATAACCACCTTAGAAAAGTAGAGAAAAAGCCAGTTAAAACAGAATAAATTAAACTAAGGATTAGACACAGTAATTTAACCAAACTGAAAAATAAAAAACGTGTTATTTGACAAATAAATTAGTCCAGAAAACACCTAAAACCCACAGGTTCCTGCTCAAAGATAGATTTGAATGTTTCTCTTTTCAATTATAATGGAAATATCTAATATACTTGTACAAAATCTCCCAAGTAACTTGAATCAAACTCTTCATCAAGAACCTATAAAGGTCAGGAGATTGAACTAGATCTAGCTTGTGTTTTGCTTGGCAAAAAATATTACATAAAAATGAAAGCATTCTGAAATTAAAATAATACTGTTAAGGTGGTTTGATTAGCTAAAAATCCCTTCCCCCAAATTTTGTAATGATGAGAGTTTTCATTCAATAAAAGGAAGAAAAGATTTAGAATTAATAAATGTGATACTTCTGATTACACCTAAAAATTTTAATGATGTTTTTGGTAAAAGGAAAAGAGAACCAACAATTGATAAATCAAAAGCCAACGGGAAAGATTCTGACAGAGAAGTATACAAAAAATATATTCCCCTTGGTGGTTATAAATTAGTCATTTCTGGAGTTTCCAAACTTCTAAAATGACTAGAAATCAAAATCACTGGTAATAAAACAGTTCTAGAGAAGGCAAGAAAATCTAATACAACCACACAAATACCTGGAGAAAAAGTTCTCTCCAACTATAAAATCCAAATCCAATCGAAGCCAGAAAACAAAAAGTAGTCCAACTTTGCTCTCACAAATATAATTAGCCAAACCCCTCTTAAATTCTCCCCCACTCTTCTTTTCCTGAGAGTCTCATCTCTGAACAGATCAAGTAAAAAAATGTAAAAAACATCCCATCTCCATTGTTTAAGGAATATTTCATATGTAAGACACACCAGGAATCTGAGCCTGGTTGAATTAAATCCAATCTTTAATAATTACTGGATGTGAGATGAGGACAAAAAATAAAATCTCAGGGGCTGGCAGCTGTGGCTCAAAGGAGTAGGGCACCAGCCCCATATGCCAGAGGTAGCGGGTTCAAAACCAGCCCCGAAAAACTGCCAAATAAATAAATAAATAAAATCTCAGAATTTGAACGCTTAATTTTAGACAATAGTTTTAGCCATTTTTCTACCCAACTGATAAGGAACTATATGTTAAGGTTAAGAAATCAGAAACATGTCCTCTATTTCAATGAAGGATAAAAGCTTCTATTTGCATGTGCATTACAGGCTTTCTACAGTTCCAACTGAGCTAGGAGAAGGTATGTTAGATCTGTTTGTGATACATACAGCTAATACATTATTTTTCTTGGCTGTTGTTATAACTATGGAGTTACCCAGATATCATCCGATTTGTTTTGTTTTAACAGCAAAATTAATGGTACATACTTACTAAAATATTTATATCAATATAAGAACAGTAAATTCCTACCTGAACTCACCACGATAGAACTTCTGTAAGGCTTCTGGGAAGGAATTTGTATATCGAACAGGCAGACATAAATGACCTTCAGACCTTTGGGTGTCGGAAAGGGGAAAAGAAAAAAGATGAGGAAATGATTACTTAAAAGGTATCATTAAACTACAACAATCAGATAGGAAATTTTTAAAATTTCCATTCCATTATCTTTGGCCGCAAAATTGTCTATAATTTCAATAAGAAAAAAGACCAAACAGAAGAAATACTCTACATCAAGTTTTAATGCCATACTCAATAATACTTAAGTTTCTACATTACAACAGAACAAAAAATAATAGCAAATTTGTCACTGATTAATTACATTGTAACATTATCTAATGATACAGTAGTATTTGCATGTTACCTTTAAATCATTTAACTATTCATTGGTGGCTAACTTACCCCAGAATGAGCAATCCAAAAGATCAATACAGAAGGTGCAATACTATTTATGATCTGGCCTTAGAATCTGCACACTGTCATGCCATAGTCTACTGGTCACATAGGACAGTTCTGACTACTGGGGGAAGTGTGGTGGAAAGGACGTAAGGTCATAAATGCTGGGAGACTGGCTACCGCACACCCTCTATCCTATTTTGAATATTAAGCTTTCAAACATAATTATTTCCCAGGTTCAACAGAGTGGGTATAGAACACAGAAGAGGCAGACAAAAATCATATTTAATTTAAGAGTCCATATAAATGAGCTATTTTAGAAGTGGATCCTCCAGCCTAAGTTGAGCCTTCAGATGTCTGCAACCCTAGCTACTTATCTGACTACACCTGCATGAGATCCCCTGTTGAAACCAGCCAGCCAAACTGCTCCTTAATTCCTGACTCACAAAAACCATGAGAGATAATACATTATTTCTTGTTTAAGCCTCTAAGTTCTGGTATGATTTGTTATGCACACTTGATAACTAATAAAGAGGAAAAGAAACTTAAGTTGAATATCACCTTCTTAAGCTCCCACAGCTTAAGAAGTCAGGCAACTTGAATTCCAGAAAAAACTAAGAGGCAACTTAATACATCTGCCTGGAGGCAAGAAGAAAAACCACAGAACTTCTAAAAGCTATTATTCTAGGTAGAAAAGAGGGAGATGAGATGGCCATAATAACACCCTCTGCTTACCAGTGTCAAAATTCCCACAAGTTTATGAATATTAAGCCCCCTGTTTTAAAGGAAAATATAATTCAATAAACTGTATAAGATATGATCACTAAAGGTTCTAAGGTTAACTAAAGAATCTCTTACCTTAATGATAAAAAAAATACACCAAGAAGTTCTAAAAGCCACATGCATCAAAATCAATGGCAATGAAAAATTAATTGCTGAACCTATCCATTATCTCAACTGCTTACATTCAGAATGTTTATTCAGCCAGATTGGGTCTTAATCCCCAAGATCATTTAATCAGTCATTCACTTTCAAATGTTTATTGTCTAACAACTGTATTGTATAAAACTATGTTAATGATAATGAAATTAAAATATAAGGCCCTATACTCAAGGAATTTATATAATGTAAAAGACAAAGAATTAAGCAGAAAATCATACAAAGGGATAAGTGCCTTCTGTACAGATAATTATAGTTAGAGCTCAGGAGAGGCACCAGCATCTTGAGTAAATAAGGAGTGTAAGGGCACTCTTGATAAAAGTACACATAAAGGCATGACAAGAAACATGGGCTTCCTGGAGAATTCTTTAACTTACTCTTTAAATCAGGCACTGTCTTAAATATCAACAAATCTCACTAGAGCAAAAGCATCCTGGTGTGAGCCTCCAATCATGGTGTTAGTGGATATTCATGCTAAAAATATAAGTATTAATCTATACCATAACATGAATTATTTTCTACCACCAATGCCAGCTAGATGCAATATCTTTCTCATGCCTGAACTTAAAACTAGAGCTATATCCTTGAAAACAACTGCATAAAGATAATTCCACTCAATTCTACATGCCTAAATTTTAACACTAAAAATTTTTTGGAACATGATTCTAATGTTCATAGTAGGCGGGAACAACAATGCTTCCACTTAAAATCACATACCATAGTAAAATACTTGTAGCAACAGAGTCCAGTAATGTGACTATAGTAGAAAAACTAAAGGATAGTTTCCATATTTTAAGATGGATCATAAACAGATACCATGCAAAGCAAAGCAAAAATGTTTGTATGTATAACATGAAACACACACACACAAAACCCAAACAAAAAGAACAAAAAGATTCTTACCGTTCTGGGTCAGTGTTTACCCCTATAACTGGTTTAAGTCTGTCTAAGACTTTACTTGCTGCCAGAAGCATTGTGCCATCACCTAAGGGACACAAATAATAGATAAGACAGGCATAACCAGACTTCTGTTATAAAACTAGTTTTTGACATCATTTTGAAAACTAGTAGTTCTGTTTTAACAATCATACCCCACCCTACTGACTTCCATAGCCTACCTCACTTCCTTTCTACCTACTATATCTTTGTACTCTTTCCTGTTTTAATCCAGGATTTTAACAGTAGCAAGATTAGCATTTTAGGCAGAATAATTCTTTGTTTGGGGAGGTTGTCCTGGACATTGTATAATGGTTGGCAGCATACCCATGAGATGCCAGTAGTACTCCCTAGTTTGGTAACCACAGCTCCAATCCTAAAACTTCTATTTGCCAATTCTCTTTTCCTTCTTCCATAACACCAGCCCAAGTCCATAAATTATTTTAATGAAGACATATCCAACCAGTGTCCAACTTCAGACTTTTTTTCTCCAACAGCTGCTGCCAATTTAAAGCTTTATTTAGGAGGAGTGAGGATTAACTTAAAGTGTTAAGTGTATTATGGGCCAAAGAGAGATAAATTTACCTAATCTCAGTAAACTCTTTACCAACTTCAATTTTTTTTTCTTACAACCAGCATAACTAAACCAACATACAATAACAACTAATCCTCTGAATCATTATTTGAAGGTAGATGCACATCTTAAATATACCCATGGAAATACACAGAAACACCATTCATTAAAAAAGTAGAATGTTGTATAAAATAGATGTTTTAACCTAATCCTAAAAATCCAAAAGTTAGTCTAATGGTAGCTAGCTCCCAAGCCATCTGGAAAGAATGCGTACTAAGTAGCACTTCCATACTCCAACCTCACAACTCTCACCTCCTGCAGCTATGACAGCGTCTGCCCACCGTACAGTCTCTTCATCGTATTCTCTCCTCTTGACTAGTCGGACTTCGATTCCTTCATTCCTAATATGAAGTAAAGGTCACACCAAATTTCTACCAATAACATATAAATTAGGGGTATGTTTTCTGAGAGGTAGATTATTATAATGGAGATACAAAATAAACAGGTTTATGTCTTATAAACAAATTTATGTATAGCTTTGTAAAGTTAGCTTCACTTGCATTTAATTACACCAGTCAACTGCAAGAAGCATGTGATAAGCTGAAAGCTAATAACAATGCTAAATCTCCATGTGCTTTAAAAACAGTTTTATAACCACCAACAAACTGCGATACTGATTGGTTAGAATTTCATTTTCTCTACTCATTCTGGTGCTAAAATTCATAATTAAAAAATGGTCCAGAAAACGAACACCTAGACAATTTTTTTAATTATAAAACTGAATAGCCATTATTTCAAATCCAACAAATAAGTCACTAAATGCCAGACATTGTAACAGTGACCAAAAAATACTTTGTCATTTACACATTCTCACACTGACTCTTGCGTATACACAGACTTATTCACTGACTGCATTTAATCCCAAAGTAACTAAAGTTTCTATAATTTTTAGACAGAAGTTCCTGTAATGATAATTTTCAGATACACAAAGAATATTATAATGAACAACCATATAATCCACTATTCTGTTTTAAGAAATAAAACATTACATAGTGGAAACCAGCTTGCAAAAAAGGCACTTTTGTCAGTCTAAAAAAAAAAAAAACTTCTGAAATTATGAGTAAATAAAAATTTTCTTAGAAATGCCATAAAGTCAAGTCCATTAACTTTGATATGATAATCATTATTGAAAAAAAATCTAAGGAGGAACTGTTAGTACAAAAGAAAAATTGAAGTCTTGAATATAAAATCCCACCCGAGACCCAACCATGGACTTACCGTAAACTATCTACAATATGCTCCACATTTTTGGTGTGAATATGATGTCGCTCAAGAAGTCCACTGTAGCTAGAGCCTTTCAATGCAAGCTATATCAAAACAAAAGAAATGTTGCTTTACTATTTATTATATATGTTACAATATTAAGTGTTTAAAAAGCCCTATATAAAACAATTTTTTGAAGGTATATTTTAATGACTACCTGTGAAACTTCTAAGTTCACATTGAACTAGAAACCCTGATCTCAGAAAATTGGAATTTGGTTTTAATATCAAAGATAGCATTAAGTTTTGTGAATCAAATAGTCAGCAGGATCTCAAAATTTGCATGATTTATAGCTTTTCTATTTTGTAATGACTTTTAAAACATACTGCATATGCCTACTTGAAGACCAAAGATAAACTAACATTTATAGAGGCAGTTATATGACCTTTGTTCCACTTGGATTTGCTGCTCTCTTGTGCTCACATTTACAAACTCTATTTGAAATTTACCCTACGCAGTCTGAATAAAGAGTTAATGATCTCCTTGAGAAAAGATCACGTTTGGACATACATATATATATCCTTCAGGAATTATATTTCCTTAAATGGGCTGGACTAACATTTTATAGCTATCACATTCTCCTTTTAAAGTGTAGCTCTTCTAAATAAACCATAAAATAAAATGTTGACAGAGGAATTTAGAAATAGCCTCAGTGAGCATCCATTTAATCAACAAGTAGGAAATGTGTCCACTGGAGTGAATCCTAGAATTCAAAACACGTTATTTTCCTTCCTCCACCAAATTCCTTTATACCTTTCCTCTTTCTGATACACAATCAGAGTTTCAAGTATTTGTCCAATATATAATCTTAATATTTAAAAACATTACTTACTGGATTATAAAGTAAAACCAACTTTTAGTTAGGATTTTAATATATAATTTGTTTTGGGAAGGAATTTAAATCAAATATAATCTTATGATTCTAAGATCATTAATGTTATCATTTTGATACCTACTTTCACTTTTAACTATGAATATTGAATTAAGAGTTTAAAGTAGTTTTATCCTCACTATAAGGAAGTGTATGTTCCCCAAAGAGGAGCTGAGGAAGCATTTGGCTATTATGAAAATTAACAGATATTAATTCACAAAGATATACCAGATCAGACAGCCTGTAAAACACTATAATACCAACCACAAGCCTCATTACTTTCAGACAGACGAAACCAATACTAAAAGCTTGTTTTAAAAGGAAAGCAGTGACCAACATAATAGCTAGAAAAGCCTTCATTTAATCAACAAATCAATACAAATCAGGTTTAGTAAAACTATTTTTGAAGTAGAATTTCTGAGTAAGATGAACATAGCAGTAACACTCAGATCAAAACTACCATTACCCAGCTATGGATTAACAAAAACTGCACTAACCACTTTGCTGAGAGTTGGGACCAAAATGCTTTTCTTCTCTACCCTCTCCTTCGGTGAGTGCTAGTTTCATCGCTTTAAGAGACCTACAGGCTGATGGTTCATCCTTTCTATCTCTAAACCTGTGCCCTGTTAGTAGAGCTCCAAATGAATTTACTAAAACTGTTTATTTGACATCCATTGATATCTAACAGACATCTCAAATTAACATGTTCAATATTGAACCCCTGATTTTCAAGGCCAAAGATTTCCTACCTGTGGCTTAAGTCAAGACCTACTCTAGAGTCATACCTGATGCTCCTTTTCTCTTATTCTCACTCCCAATTACTAAATCCTGCATTTTATCTATGCACGTCTCTACTTTTTACCTCTACCACTCACGATCTCACTCCTGGACTACGGCACAAGCCTTTTAGGGGGTTTGCTGCTTCCACTCTTGGCCCCCTACAGACTATTCCACACACAACCACCAGAGGGACCCAAGCATGTCTTTCTCTTACTCAGTTAACACCCTTCTACAGATCACACCTTTAACAAAGCATGAACTCCTTACCAACTCTCCTAGACCCTATGTGACCTAACTTGTGCTCCCTCTCCTACCTCATTTTTCCTCCTCATTCCCCAAGCTCTAGTTTTATTTGTCTAGTCTCACCAAACTCTTTCCCTTGCATGACCTGGCATGCCCTCCTCTCTCCCTCCCTCAGCCTGACTCTGGTACTTCTCCACCTTCAGGTGTCAGGACCCAGTGCCCTCTAAAACACAGCTGCTGCTACTACAGCCACCACTGCCAGTTACTCCATCCTAAAACCTATCAATTTCCTTCACTACATTCACCACACCTAAAATTATCTTGAGTTATTTTTAATTTATTTGTCTCCCTTTACTAGAATGTAAGTGTCAGTCAGGAAAGAAATGATCTTCCTTGTTCACCACTGTGCCCTTCGGGTCTAGATACTGGTTAAGTATTTGCTGAGTGGGCTCAGCGCCTGTGGCTCAAGCGGCTAAGGCGCCAGCCACATACACCTAAGGTGGCGGGTTCGAATCCCCAGCCCGGGCCCGCCA